TCCATCATTTGTATGTAAACACGCACTATATGGACATGTTTAACATTGTCTCTCACGCATGAAATGACGTTGTTAAACGAAGGATGAAGACACGTCTCGTGGCCTTGCATTTTCTCTGCATCTTGAGTTTTTCAAAGCACAAACATCTGGAACACGAGCATCACTAACGGCAACGGCAATTTTCACTCAGAAATTGCTAGTAGATTTCATAAACAATTACAAAGAAACAACAACTATAACACACTGAATTAAACATGGCATTTTGAAGTAGAAAATCCAGCGCTTAACTGGTTTGCATGAAAATTTTTTTTAAAAATCACGCATTACAAAAGGTTTCCTGAACACTCCCCCTATATCTGCCATTGGTCGGAGACAGAGATAGCCCCGCCCCTAACCTCACGCTATTGGCTGAGCTGGTGTTACTGGGAGAGACACTTCAGAATCATTTACTTTGACTCCCTAGCAACCACCCAGGCCACCCTAGCAACCACCAAAGGCTTTGCAAATACTGAAAACTTGCAATATTTACAACAATGGAAAAATTCTGTAGCTGTAAGTTTACTATAGCAAAAAAACTATTTATTTTCTATTTATTTATTTAGTTTCTAAATCTATACCCAGTGTCGGAGAAAGTTACTTTTAAAAGTAATGCATCACAATATTGTGTTACTCCCTAAAAAATTTACAAATTGCGTTACTTAGTTACTTTTTTTGCGTTACTGTTTTCTCTTCTGCATGGGCTGGCTTGTTTATAATATAAAAACTTGTAAATGTAAAAGCCCTTTCACACCAAAAGTTAAATGAATAAGCCTCAGGCTGTAGGAAATGTAAATTCACATCTGTACAGTACAGTTTTTTTTCATTTTGAGGAATACTGAATCTGTTTTTGAGTAAATGCATGTTGAAATTTAGTGTAGAACTACAGTACGATCATGTTACTTGTAATGCGAACTCCATATTTAAAGCATTAATTTCATAGCAATATTTCCTCAATTGCACAGCATTTTCTGTGTAAATGCATTTGTGTCGCCTCTGTGCAAATTCATATTTTTGTGATTGAGCGGATGACTGTAATGATACTAAACAGGATTTGAGTTTAAGAATAAAAAACCCCAATAAGTAAAATACAGATGGATTGTAATATGCAAGTCTAACAAAGAGTATAATGTAAAAGCTGTGAGAGTAACTAAATGCAGAAATTAAATAAGAACAACATATAACAATATGCAAGTGTTTGACTAAAGAGATGAAACTGAAGTTCAAAGCAGAGCGGAAAAAATGAAGATGTGAATAAAGGATGTGAAATCAATGGAGAAAGCAAGTCTGAGTTGCATGAAGTTAATTTGATATTTTATGTCTGTTGTGGCAGGAAATCACCTCCTGCTGAAACCTTCATTTATGTGAAATAAGTTGATTACTGGAGGTTTCTAGGTCATAACAGCAGGATAAACTGCTGGTGAACTCCTGCGGTTTCAACAGGTTAGCTCTATCTGTTCTGAATGAGCTCAGCTTCATCTCACATCTAAACAGAGCGTGCAACATCACATACAGGCTGTGAAACAGAGAAAGTGAACCTGTGTGAGAACACAGACTCCTGCTGAAACAGGAACAGGCTTGAAACATACAATAGACGATATGTGGAACATCTTACACACTTAATGATGCATAAAATTTATAACAAATGTCAATGCTTCAGATATGGATAAAAAACAAACATGCATTTTAAAACGTGTGCACTATTCTCAGCCGACACTACTGCGCAGAAGTTTGGAAGAAGTCTCTCCAAGGCTGCATTTAATTGATCAAAAATACAGAAACAGCAGTGAAATATCATTACAATTTAAAATAGCTGTTTTCTGTATGAATATATTGTAAAATGTAATTAATTTCTGTGATCAAAGCTGAATTTTCAGCAGCCATTGCTGCGTCATATTTTTGCGGAAATGTTTGGGGTAAATACGATTTTTCATTTTATTGATCAAGGACGCATTAAAATGATCAAAAAGGCATTCATAATGTTGTATTTCAAATAAATGCTGTTCTTTTGAACTTTCTGTTCATCTGTGAATCCTGAAAAATAAAATGCATCACGGTTTCCACAAAAATATTGTGCAGCACAACAATTGATAATAATCAGAAATGTTTCTTGAGCAGCAAATCAGCATATTAGAATGATTTCTGAAGATCATGTGACACTGAAGACTGGAGTAATGATGCTGAAAATACAGCTGCGCATCACAGAAATAAATGACAGTTTAACAGATATTCACGTAGAAAACAGCTGTTTTACATTATAATAATATTTCACAATTTTTACTGTATTTTTGATCAAATAAATGCAGTCTTGGTGAGCAGGAGAGACTTCTTTCAAAAACATTACAAAAATATACCAAACTATTGACTGGTAGTGTATGAAATAAAAATAGAATATGAGAAATTAAAGAAATATAAAGGACATATCTTTTTCTGATACACCATGTTGCTTCACTGCAGCATAAAAGGGCATAAAGTAATAAAAGCTGGATTGTAGATGATGATTATCCCACGTTCTGCACTTCAAGCCTGAGATCACGTTTCTTAAGAGCCCCATCTTGTGGTTTTCCTCTAAAACAACAACACACTTCACACAAGTTCACCTCGATTAAAAGCGTTGCTCCATGAAGTTAATCTCTTTCTTGACTAATCCAATGTTCTGAGGTCAGAATTCCAGAACTAACCTTATTTACTCTCAAAGGAATTAAAAACCCTTATCTCATATGCAACACATGCAGGATTTACTGTTTGCCGGTGATGCACACAGGCTTGCACACGCTTGAGAAAGTGTGAGTTATTATATTCTGTGTGCACATCTAACATGCTGGATGCACAAGTTAAAAGGACCGGAAATATTTCACAAGCTGTGAATTAATTGCACGCTGAACCTGTCAGCACAATTAAAGAGCAGTTCTCTGTTGATGCTCTAATTAGGCCCCCTGTGATTAAAGTACAAACGGCTTTAATCAGTCTGATACAGTGATTCAGGATCACATCCGTTTGCTTGCATTTTGAAATCAAATCTTCATCATCATCTATACTGTACACTAGTTTACTCTTAAAACCAAACGAGTAGGTCAAGCTCATTATGTTCGTGTGACAAAGGCTTTCTATGGCTGATTAGACTTAAGGATTTCTATTTGCCAGGATTATCAAGAAAACCTCTAATCTATTGCAACAGCCTAGCAAACACTTATCAGCATCTTAGCGATTGTCCAGATCACTTCGAACACATTAAATGCACTGGCTACTTTATTTAGCAGAACCCTAGCAACCACTTCAACACCTTGGCAACCTTGTAGCACAAAGCAGAACTGATTTCAAACACAAGGCTTCTGCTATGAAAGACTGTAACTTGCAATTCTGAGAAAAAATAATTTCTTAAAAAAGAACTTTTTCTTAAAATTCTGAGTTTGTATCTCACAATTCTGACTTTGCAATTCGCAATTTTATTTTTTTTCTCGCAATTCTGAGTTTATCTCACAATTGAATTTAAATGTAGCAATTTTTTCATTTTTTCTCGCAATTCTGAATTTATCTCACAATTTAGATTTTTTTCTCGCAATTCTGAGTTTATGTCTCACAATTTTGATTTTTTCGCAATTCTGTGTTTATATCTCACAATTGAATTTATATTTCGCAATTTAGATTTTTTCTCGCAATTTTGAGTTTATATCTCACAATTCTGACTTTGCAATTCGCAATTGAATTTAAATTTCGCAATTTTTTCATTTTTTTCTCGCAATTCTGAGTTTATATCTCACAATTTTGATTTTTTCCGCAATTCTGAGTTTATATCTCACAATTTTGATTTTTTTTGCAATTCTGAGTTTATATCTCGCAATTATGACTTTTTTCTCGCAATTGAATTTATATTTTGCAATTGAGTTTTTACTTGCAATTCTGAGTTTATATTTTGCAATTGAGTTTTTACTTGCAATTCTGAGTTTATATTTTGCAATTTAGAGTTTATATTTTGCAATTTAGATTTTTCGTGCAATTCTGAGTTTACAATCTCAAAATTCTGACTTTTTTTTTTTTTTACAATTCTGACTTTACTCGCAATTCGGACTTTTTTTCTTGCAATTCCGGTGTTATATTACACAACTCTGACTTTTTTTCTCAGAATTCTAAATTTATATCTCGATTACATTTTTTTCTCGCAATTCTGAGTTTTCATCTCGCAATTGAATTTATATTTTGCAATTTATATTTTTTCTCGCAATTCTGAGTTTATATCTCACAATTTAGATTTTTTCGCAATTCTGAGTTTATATCTCACAATTATTTAGTTTTTTCTCGCAATTGAATTTATATTTTGCAATTTGGATTTGTTCGTACAATTCTGAGTTTTTTAGCAATTTAGATTTTTTAGTTTATAATCTCAAAATTCTGGCTTTTTTTTTTTTACAATTCTGAATTTACTCGCAATTCTGTTATATTACACAACTCTGACTTTTTTTTCTCAGAATTCTAAATTTATATCTCAATTAAATTTTTCTCTCGCAATTTTGAGTTTTTATCTCGCAATTAATTTTTTCTCAGAATTGTGAGAAAAAAAAGTCACAATTAACTTCTTAATTTTTTAATCCTATGGAGGAAACAAGCTTCCATATTCTGCTACAGAAGCTTCCAACTTTAAATCTCTTTTCAAACTGCAACATATTCAAATCACACAAGGCCTAACTTCAAAGAATCTTCTAGTTAAACTCGACTTTGTCAAACCAGCGTTCAGAGATGTCAAGTTGCCTAGTAAATGTTGATGTTTGTCCTTTCATCAGTGATTTGTCCTTAAGTCTTTGAGCTTTGGAATGCCGTTGATCTGCTCCCATATTGAACTCAGCGTGAGGTTTGCTCAGCCTTGCTTTAGGGATTGTGTTTGCCAGCGAGAGAATTCATTTTGGCAGATATAAGCTGTTTTTTTTCCATGCTAAGGAGACTTCAGTGACCTTATCTCCACGGGAGGTACCTATGATGAAAACTATTTAACACGCCTCACCAGCGATGGGACGGCATTGAGCTATTTGGAAGCTCCTCGTAGCAAATGGTAGGTCAATTCATTTCTCTTAAAAACCCTTACTCTGAGAATAAGAATATGTCAGTCTTCACCCCTTATGTCTCTGTTTGCTCTCCACAGATGAACAGCATTACTTTAGTCTGTCTTCTTCTGTGCACGGGAGTGTCTTCCTTCAGATTTGAGGAGTTGACACAATATGTGAACAGCCATGAAGAGGAATTTATTGAGGTATTTCTTTTTTGGGATGTTATGAAAATATCTATCTGCACTAATTCAGTTAAGGATTGCATTTGCATTACATCTCTGTGATAACCGGTGATCTTGTGTCCAAACTCAGTGACAACATCTGTCTGCTCTAGTGACACCATCACGACTCGTTATTGATGCATCTTATCTCTGCAGAAATGCAACACAATCACTTGCAGATTGTAGAAAATGCAGTTGTTTATTTGAGCTCAGATAAGACGCCTCTCTTTTTCTTTGATGGTTTAGTGTCGTCAGCTCAGGCTGTTGATGAAGAAAGAGTCATGCACACGACACACAGATGAAAATATATTTTATCGTGGTCATGAATTAAGAATTTGTCCCCTTTTTTTATTAATCCATTCCCTCATTTTAGTTAAATCATGGCCAAGATTTACTATTCCTTCCCTCGTGTTAGGAAATTGTTCCATCGATTTAGTAATTAGTTCCTTTGTTTTAGTAAACTGTTTCTTAATTTTAGTAAATAGTTTCGTAATTTTAGTAAATTGTTTCCTAATTTTAGTAAATCGTTCCCTTTTTTCAGTAAATCGTTCCCTTGTTTTAGTAATTTGTTTCCTGATTTTAGTAAATCGTTCCCTCGTTTTAGTAAATCGTTTCCTAGTTTTAGTAAATAGTTTCGTAATTTTAGTAAATTGTTTCCTAATTTTAGCAAATTGTTTCCTAATTTTAGCAAATTGTTTCCTAATTTTAGCAAATTGTTTCCTAATTTTAGCAAATTGTTTCCTAATTTTAGCAAATTGTTTCCTAATTTTAGCAAATTGTTTCCTAATTTTAGCAAATTGTTCCATTGTTTTAGTACATTTTCCTAATTTTTATAAATCGTTCCCTCGTTTTAGTAAATTGTTTCCTAATTTTAGTAAATTGTTCCCTTATTTTAGCAAATTGTTCCCTTGTTTTAGTAAATTGTTTCCTAATTTTAGTAAATCGTTCCCTTATTTTAGTAAATCATTCCCTTGTTTTAGAGTAATAAAAGTAACTAGTAAGTAGTAGTAAATTAAAAGTAATAAAACAAGGGAACAAATTAGTACAATGTGCCCATGATTTACTAAATCGAGGAAACAGATTATTGCGTTAATATCCATTCAGTCCTGTCGTTCCCGTTCAGATTGAGCTCAGATTGAGTTCAGATTGACGCCGGTTCTGTAACTCTCAGTTCTGCTGAACCCTGGCCTGTATATTCTGTCTGTTTCAGACTCTGAGACAGTGGATCGCTGTGGAGAGCGACTCCAGCGATGTTACGAAGCGACCTGACCTACACAGAATGATGGACATGACGGCAGAGAAACTCAGACTCGTTGGAGGAAGCGTGGAGATGGTGGACGTCGGGACGCAGGCGGTCAGATAATGAGCTTTTCTTACTAGCTGTAACCTTTGATTAGAACAGCTTCACTATTAAACTACTGACATCGAACGATATTAACCGTGGTGTCCGTCTCTCGTACAGCTGCCCAATGGAAGCAGCCTCGCTCTGCCCAAAGTGGTCACAGCTCGGTTCGGTGAAGACCCCAGCAAACGCACCGTCTGTGTTTACGGTCACGTGGATGTCCAGCCGGCCAAGAAAGAGGACGGATGGGCAACAGACCCTTACGAGCTCACAGATATCGACGGTAACCCTGAACCTGTCCCATTGCAGTATTATGAGATACTAAAATAGTTTTGTTAATATTTTAATTTAACTTTCTTTTTATATTTTCCGTTTTCACTTTCATTTTTAGTCATTTTGTTGTGAGTTTTTGTTACTTATTAAGCTTTTTTGTCTACATGCAATATGAAACTAAATATGTCTATACAGTTTTTAATAAATTTTTATCTTTTATATTTCATGTACTTTATTATATTTTATAATATATTATATATTTTTTTATCTTTTTAGTTATTTTAGTACTCCAAGTCAAATTTAATATATTTTTCTTATTAGTATTTTTATTTTATTATATTTTATTTATATTTTTAAATTTTTTATTTCAGTTAACATTTATTTCATTTCAAGTAACACGTTTTTTATGGCTTTATGTTTTGTTATTTTAGTGCCAAATATTAAACTAAATGAAAAGGATAAATGGTGTCCTTATGACTAGCTGAAATAAAACATGTTTAATTTTTTTTATAATTTATTTCACTTAAAGTTTCATTTTGTTTCGAGCAACAAAAATGTTTGTTATTTTAGTGCTAAACGTTAAAATGAGAAAATGAGAAGTGTTGCATTGACGACTAGCTGAAATAAATTTTTTTAATATCTTATTTTATTTCAGTTAATGTTTACTAAATTTTTATTTATTTATTTATTTTATGCTTTTAGTTTAGCCTGTAACTTAGTTCCTTTAATTGCATGTTTTTAGCTTAGACTTTGTCTATTAGTTTTCAAAACTGAAATATCATGAACAATCAATTTCAACGCCTAAAGAGCTTTTTACCCAGCAGTGAAAAACTAAAAGTTTGAGTTTCTGTCCTGTAGGAAAATCAGATGATAATATGATTATTTTATTTGTAGGCAATCTCTATGGAAGAGGAGCATCTGATAATAAAGCGCCGGTGTTGGCCTGGATCCATACGGTGGAGGTCTACAAAGCCCTGAACATCGTAAGACACGATGAAATCAAAAGAAATGCAACGGGTTTCATACTGAGTTTCTGTTCAGGGTTTGCCTGTGTTTCCTACAGGATCTGCCGGTGAACGTTAAATTCATCATTGAGGGAATGGAGGAGACCGGCTCTAACGGCCTGGACGACATGATTGTGGCTCAGAAAGACTCGTTCTTCTCAGATGTGGATTATATCATCATCTCTGACTGCGTTTGGCTCAGCAGACGTCCGGCGCTGACGTACGGAACCAGAGGGAACTGCTACTTCTTCGCCGAGGTCCAGAGATCAAACCATTCAGATGCGTTTAGTTTTATTACAGAAAACTTTATATGTTATACATGTGCATGAGCCTTGTATTATGGTAAAAATCTGGGTGAGATTGTTATGTTGCAGGTCAGATGAACCCTAATTCAATACAATTCGCCAAAAATCATACTATTAATTTTTTTTTTTTAAAACAGGTAAAATCAATAAACCATTTTTTAAACATTACAAAAAATAAATACAAAAATAAAATACATGATTTTTAAAAATTTAACTCTTACTTTTTTTGTAAAAAAAAAATTAAAAAAAATATGTATATTATTTGTTATTTTGCAACTCTTGTAACTTTTTTTTTTGTTTTTACATTTTAACAAGAAGTGTGGAAAAGCATTTATTCTGTGTGATTTCCTGAAGCACAATTCAAGGTAACTATAGTTAACTAAAACTAAAGAAATTGAAACTAAATTTAAAACAAACAATAATTAATAAATAAATACATTTCATTACCTGAAATAAAATACAAAACATGTGCCTGAAATAAAAATAATTAAATTATTTTAATTAAGTATAATATGATGTACTAAAATAACTAAAAATTAAATAGAATAATAATATAATATAAATAACAAAGAGTGAAAAATTTAAGGGGGTCTGAATACTTTCCGTACCCACTGTATATACTGTACATACTATGAAAAATTACAAAAAATATATACAACAAAATTCTTAAAACTTATTAAAATAAAATTAAAATAGAAAATAGAAACATTTTTAAAAAACTATAATATTATTTCAGTTATACTAAAATACTGCAACACTGGTTCGATTTCTAGTGAAATTAACATGAATGAATGGATAAAAATGTACTAAAATAAATAAAAATGAAATAAAATAATATAATATAAATTAATAAAAACGGCACTAGATATATATACTGTACATACTACGAAAAATTAAAAAATATATATACAACAAAATTCTTAAAACTTATTAAAATAAAATTAAAATAGAAAAAAAAATGATTCAAAACATTTTTAAAAAACTATAATATTATTTCAGTTATACTAAAATACTGCAACACTGGTTCGATTTCTAGTGAAATTAACATGAATGAATGGATAAAAATGAACTCAATCAATGCTGTGTAAATTTCATTGGATAAAAGCATCTACTAAATGCATAAATGTAATAACTCTCAGAGTTTAGCTGGGAAACTGACATGACAAAATACATACAAATTGGTTCAGTTCAGCTGCCTTTAACCATGAAATATGCGGGTCAAATTGACAGGTTAACAATTACTTCCGACAACTCAAAACTCAATGTGGGTTAAACTGACTTGCAACATAATGCACGAAGCTTGTGGCGTGTCAAGAGAGTTGTTAAGAGTGTAACCCGTGTAATCAGTCGCTTCACTTCATGATCTGAGAAGTGTTTTTGGGTTTAGATGAGCAGCAGTGCTCTTCACACACCGTGTTTCTCTCGTGATGACGCAGGTCGAGGGACCCAAGAAGGATTTGCACTCTGGGGTTTATGGAGGAACAGTAATGGAGCCGATGACGGACCTGATCAGCATCTTAGGTGCGGACCTTCTGCGTCAATTAAAAACGTTACACATAAGTTCATAGAGGACAAAAATGCCCATGTCCAAAAACTGTCCTAAAAATGTGAAGCTTGGGAGTACAGACTTACGTTTGGTCTCATTTTAAAAGAAGACCCTTGGCAGATTATTGTTGAAGTTAAACAAGTTATAGGCCTGGTTTCACAGACAGGGTTTAGACTAAGCCAGGATTAGGCCATAGTTCAATTAGGACATTTTATAAACGTGCCTTAGAAAAAACATTAGTGGTGTGCATCTTGAGACAAAACAAAGGCACTGATATATTTTAAGATCAGTCGGTGCAAGTTTCTTTTAGTTGGAACAGCTCAGACTTACATTTTAGTCTGGGACTAGGCTTAAGCCTTGTCTGTGAAACCAGGGGATAGATGTTTAAGTTTATCAAAATGATTTATGAGCACTTTTTTATATAAAATATATATTTTATAAAACATGTTGAACACAAAAATTGCTAGAAAATCAAATGCATAAATCTAAAGTTGTTTTCCGAATTTGAGGTTGATATCTTTAAAAATGAGCTTTTAGTAAGACTTTGTTTTGGGTGCAGTACCAAACTTTTCCCATTGGATTCCAGCAAAGCTCCGCTGGCGAACACAGTGGTGGTACAGTATAATTTCTCTCTCTCAAACATTACAGGTGCACACACACACAAACACACACTTTTTTTAGGACACACTGGCTCTATAATACAGCAAAAGCAGAAAACAGGACAAATGTGAGTTTTTGCTTTATAGGCCAAACCTGAGAAAATGGCACCATCTGGTAAAAATTTTGAAGCCTTGCCAACAGAATGAAAGCCTATTAACAAAAACGGCATCATTTTATAGTTAAACAGCCCTGGGATTAAAAACTGCCGTTTTAATGGGTTTCAATGAGGACGGTTTTGTCCATAAAGGAACTAATATTTGTACCTAGTGTAAAATAGATTTATTAAAGGAAATTAAGGTGAAATATTAAAATTCCAATAAAAATACACACCTGTGCCAAAATTTATGCAGTTGGCATTAACACAGGCAAAATGATCAAAAAACTAAACTGAAAAAGACACATGCTTTTATTTTATTTGAAGTTACAATTAGTAATTAAAGTTATTTTAGGACTGAATGTTAAACTAAACGAAAATGAGAAATGCTGCTGAGCTAGCTGAAATAAGACAAGTTGTTTTATATTTAATTTTTATTTCAGTTTATTTATTATTTATTCATTTTTTTATGGTTTAGTTTGTTATTTTAGTAAAGTCGAGTCGAGTCTAGCTTTATTTAGAACTAAACGTTAAAGTAAATGACTAGCTGACGTAAAAATAAGATTAACTTTGTTATATTTTATTTGAATTAAAGTTTTTTTTCAAGTAATATTTCTTTATGGTTTCAGTTTATTTTACTGTAAAAGTTAAGCTAAACAAAAATGAGAAATGTAGCTTTGACAATTAGCTGAAATAAAATAAGTTTAATTTTTTAAAATGTATTTTATTTGAAGTACCCAAAATGTTTTTTATGGCTTTTGTTTTAGTTATTTAGTGCTAAATGTTAAACTAAACAAAACTGATAAATGTTGCCTTGATGACTATAGCTCAAAATAAAATAAATTTACATTTTTTAAATTATTTATTTTATCTCAGTTAATGTTTATTTTATTTCAAGTAACAAAAATGTTTTTTATGGTTTTAGTTTTAGTTGTTTTAATACTAAACGATAACTAAATGACTTTTCAGTTAAAGTTTTTTCTTCAAATAATAATTTTTTTTTATGGTTATAGTTTGTTATTTTAGTACTAAAAGTTAAACTAAACAAAAATGAGAAATGCTGTCTTGTCAACAGCAATGCTAACCCTGGAATAACATATAAAACTACCAAATTTTGCTTTATCGCAAAGTTTAATCGCAACATATAATCATTGCAGTTAATATGATTATTACTGTACATTTCTGCCATAGCCACCACTATTAACCTACTCCTAAATACAATGTAGAAATGTAATATTTTCTGTAAAGCTGCTTTGCAACGATTGGTATTGTGAAAAGCGCTATACAAATAAACTTGAATTGAATTGAATGAAATGAAATAAAATAAAATAAGTAAAATAAAATAATAAATAACTTTTTTATATTTGATTTTATTTCAATTAAAGTTTATTTTATTTCAAGTAACATCTTTTATGGTTTTAATATTAGTTAATTATAACTCTGTCTGTAACTTATTTACTTCAATTGCAAGTATTTAGTTTAGACTTTGGTTTAAATGTCTTTTTATCGCCAAAACTGAAATAACATGAACATTTCTTAGACGTGATAATTTTTTCCACAAGTACTCTTAAAAATAAAGGTGCTTAAAAGGTTGTTCACAGCGATGCCACAGAAGAACCATTTCTGGTTCCACAAAGAAGCATTCAGTCAAAGAACATCTCTTTCTTAGCTTTTTATAATCAACATTTCTTAGACGTGATAATTTTTTCCACAAGTACTCTTAAAAATAAAGGTGCTTAAAAGGTTGTTCACAGCGATGCCACAGAAGAACCATTTCTGGTTCCACAAAGAAGCATTCAGCCAAAGAACATCTCTTTCTTAGCTTTTTATAATCTGAAGAACCTTCTTTCGCCACAAAGAAGCTTTAGTGAAACAGAAATGTTCTTCAGATGTTAAAGGTTCTTTATGCAACCATTCAGACAAAAAAGGTTGTTCTATGACATCCCTGTGAAGCACCTTTATTTTTAACAGCAGATATTAGTCTAAAAAGCTCTTTGCCGGCAATAGTATAGCAAGTACAGTAAAAATGCAAGGAAAAATATGCCAGTTTTTAAGGAATAGTTCCTCACTTATTCAACATTTAAGCTTTATGCAAGGAAACCCATGGAAATACATGTTTTTCCCCTTCTTGGCTCCATCAGGTGGATCTTCTCGCCCATCGCTGGCGTCACCCGACCGTGTCGATCCACGGCATCGAGGGCGCTTTCTCCTCGCCGGGCACCAAGACGGTCATCCCGGCCAAAGTCATCGCCAAGTTCTCCATCCGCCAGGTTCCTAACATGGATCCAGCCGTGGTGGAAAAGCAGGTGAAGCAGATGAAGCTCATTTTAATGTGTAGAAATTAGGGATGGGCGATTTATTATCATTTGCGATATACCGGTAAAAATTCTCCCCACGATAAGAATTGGTCATCCCGTGATAATAACGATAAAGTGTGCGACAGTGTGGAGCGACATCACGGAAGGCGGACGTGAAATTGAGTAGGAATACAGTAGTCAACATTTGAAGTGTATCAAAAAAGTTTATCAAAGTTGTCCTAAGACAAGAACGCATATTAGTTTTTAGGACAACTTTGATGAAAGATTTTGATCCACTTCAAATGTTGACTACTGTATATCTCTAAATGAGGAGCTCCTTCTACAATCTGGAACTGGTTTAGTTAGGGCTGTACAGTGCACAAAAAATCAGGCGATGAATAAATATACTACAGTAGCATGTGTGCGATACAATTTTGCTTGTGTATGAGCCTGTTTACAAACAAAGATATAATTTATTGACATGCTTTTTCTCCAAATTAACTTCATAACATGTGTTTGAAATAACTTATTTTGTGACCAGACGTGGTTTCATATTACAGAATGATAGTATTATATACAGTGATAAAGGCCATGTCGATTAGCATTGCATTATAAATATACTTTCCTTATAAAAAAATACCCAAGATTGCTTGAAGAACACAGATAAACCATATATTTTGTGCGATCGTATGTTTATTGTCTTCATGTTTCATCAGTTAAAATTTCTCTATCTCCGTTGGGTGTTTTATTCAGCGATAACTGGATGCCTTTGTCCATATTAGGGATTTCATGGAGCGTCATCAGTGCTATAACTTCTGTGATGCATGTGGAGTTTCTGCGCAAGAGCGCCCTCTGGCTTCCAGTATGAATTAAACAGTCATTACATTACGTGTGTACTCAGTAATGCTCACAACACCCTATTTTGTGTAAAAATAGGAAAGATAATGCTTTTCTCTAAAGAAACAGGATTCGCTGAATTATCGTCATTGATATCGTTATCGCAATAAATACCAGAAATACCGTGATATATTTTTAAGCCCATATCGCCTATCCCTAGTAGAAATGACTGTTCACGTTATAACCGGTGCTTTTTAACCCTTAGGTGACTGATTATTTACACTCTGTGTTTGCGAAACGCAAGAGTCCCAACAAACTCAACATCACGATGGTCATCGGAGCCAAACCTTGGCTGGCCGATCCCAAACATCCGCTGTATGAAGCCGGAAAGGCAGCGGTCAAGAGAGGTCCACACACTTCACTTTTGCTCCGAATCCCAGTCTCACACGTTTTCTCTATTAAGTTCTTAAGTTCTTGTCTTTTGTTCTGATTTTTTAAGCAATTTAGAACTTGTTTAATAATCTTTTTTCTTTTAAACAAACCAAGTTCCATATCGAGAAAAAATGCATGGGAAAACCCCCTTCTGGACCGGCAAAAAATACAATTATGCCAATATTTATAGTCCTAATTGTTTCAATTCACATAGCAGAAATCAAAACGGAATTTGCACACAAAGCAAGAGTGTTATTTTAAAATCATTGAGATATTATATTTTTATTAATATTTTCAATGAGTTTTTTGTCATTTTTATTCGTTTTTTTATTCTATTTAGTTTTTTTCATTAATGTTTATTTATTAGTTATAGTTTATTTAGTTTAGTTATTTTAGCACTAGATGTTAAACTAAACAAAAATGAGAAATGTTTTCTAGGCAAGTACCTGGAATAAACTATATTTTTATGTACGTCTACATGAATTTTATAAATTTGTATTGTAGTTTCAGTTGTTTTAGTACATCAAGTTAATTGGGAAAATAAAATTAATTAAAATGAGAAATTGGCAACTAGCTGCAATAATAAATAGTAAATAATATTAATAAATTTTTATTTCAGTTAATGTTTATTTTATTTCAAGTAATGAAAATGCTTTTAATGGTTTAAAGTTTTAGTTAACTATAATAATCTTAAAAAATAATAATAATAAACTTTTTCACTTAAGATTTTCATATAAAGTGACAAAGTACAAAAGTGCACAAACAAAAAAGTGACATTTCAAGTAAAAAAGTACAAAAGTGCACAAACAAAAAAGTGACATTTCAAGTAAAAAAGTACAAAAGTGCACAAACAAAAAAGTGACATTTCAAGTAAAAAAAAAAAAAGTACAAAATTGCACAAAAAATACAAGTAAAAGAAAGGTTACTTGAAATAAACATTAACTAAAATAAAATAAATTATAATTTTTATTTTGAAATGACTTATTTCAGCTAGTTGCCAAAATGTTGTTCCTCAACGGCAAGGCCATGAAATTCTAAAGTAAAAAATGTTGTTTCTCAATGGATCTTATGCTTTGAGCTTGCTTGGATTCTAGCTTTTGGTTTTCTGCTTTGAAAAATACTTGTGTAAGCAGGATTCATAAGAGCAGTTGTGCATCTGAGTAAGACGTTGAGCATCACCTGTGTCTCGTAGTGTTTGCCGTGGAGCCGGACCTGATCCGTGAGGGAGGCACGATTCCCATCGCCAGAACCTTCCAGGACGTCACAGGCAAGAGCATCATCATGCTGCCCATCGGAGGCTTCGACGACGGCCTGCATTCACAGAACGAGAAGATCAGCAGGTCCCTGGAGCTTCGGAGTCTGTTGGAGAGCTTCTCTTCATGCACATTCATTCACTGCTTCATGTCTTATTTTTCAGATACAACTACATGGAGGGAACCAAGCTGTTCATCGCCTACCTGCATGAAGTGTCCCAGATCAAGAAGTACTGATGTGAGGATCTTCTGCTGTTCTCTGGAACAAACACATCTCTCCATTACTACTAACAAATATATTTCTCTGTGCTGATGCATATTTTGACAGATTAATGATGCTGGAACAAATTAAACAAGTGTTTTGCAATGCATGTGCAGTGGTTTTATTTGCATTAACTTAAGAGGTTGCATTTATTCACTTGGTTATGTGTAGTGACTTGTATTATGTAATTGTGCGTTCTGCTAAAACAGGAAATGCCTTGTGAACGTTTTAAGGTTGCCAGATATTCCTTCATAGTCATAAAGGTTCAAATCATATTTGAGTAGTATTCTCATAAAAACATTATCTTTATTGTAATCGATGTGAATTAAATCATTTGAAGTGCAAGGTTTGACACGTTTTTAAAATAATGTAATTCAACATTTTTTTATTATTTATGCTGCGTTGCAAGGTGAATATAACACCACACGGATTACATACATGTAATTAAATAATGTATATAAAATTAATAAGTATAATAATATGCACTACCAGTTCAGACGTTTTTGAACAGTAACAGTAATGTTTATTAAAGAAGTCTCTTCTGCTCACCAAGCCTGCATTTATTTGATCCAAAATACAGCAAAACGGTAATATTGTGAAATATTTTTACTGTTTAAAATAACTATTCTATTTGAATATATTTTAAAATGTCATTTATTCCTGTGATTTCAAAGCTGCATCATTACTCCAGTCACGTGATCCTTCAGAAATCATTCTAATATTCTGATTTGCTGCTCAATAAACATTTATTATTATTATTATTATGTTGAAAACAGCTGAGTAGAATTTTTTCAGGATTCACATATGAATACAAAGTTCAGAAGAGCAGCATTTATCTGAAATAGAAATCTTTTGTAACATTGTAAATGTCTTTATCATCACTTTTGATCAATTTAAAGCATCCTTGTTAAATAAAAGTATTAATTTCTATAACCCCCCCCCCCCTTTCTATTCATTAAAGAATCCTGAAAATGTACTCAACTGTTTTAAATATTGATAATAATAATAATCATAATCAGAAATGTTTCTCGAGCAGCAAATCAGCATATTAGTATGATTTCTGAAGATCACGTGACACTGAAGACTGCAGTAATGATGCTGAAAATACAGCTTTGATCACAGAAATAAATTACATTTTGAAATATATTAAAATGAATAGAAAGCAGCTATTTTAAACAGTAAAAATATTTCACAATATTACCGCTTTGCTGTATTTTGGAACAACTAAATGCAGGCTTGGTGAGCAGAAGAGAAGTGTTTAAAAAGCATAAAAAATCTTACTGTTCAAAAACTTTTGACTGGTAGTGTACATAAAACGAATAAGTATAATAAACATAAAACCGAAAGTGTCCGGATGTTGTTTCGCTAAAGACGAAGGATCTGGCAACCCGCGCTGTCAGCGCTCAGTCGAGAAGCTGGTTAGTAATGTGGCTTCAAAATCTCACCAATGCTTCATCACAACTAGTCCTTTATTAGCTGTAGACATTGCTCAGCGGATAGTTAAAGCATTGACATCGAATACTAAAAGCACAGTTGGGTTTTTAGCCTAAATACCGCGTTATCGAGCTGCGCAGAGAGAAGGCCAGACAGACTCTGAGGTAAGACGATATTACTCACACTTCACTGATATGCGAGGCTGATGTGTGTTTATTTTTAAACAAATCTTGCTTTAAACAATCTGCAATAAGCAGTAAGTTGCCGACTGCTGTCAGAAGTGTCTGGTTTTGTGTGAATGTGGAGTTTTGAGGTGTCGCTAGTCGGCTAATGCTAATTGTTTATGTTTTGGTGATCGCGTCAAACTAGCTGACAGTCAGATTAATCACATTTTAATTCAGACAAATACATTTATGTGCTGTAAACTCACTTAATAAGGCTGATTATAAAGATATAAGGTGAACTACACAGTAAAAGAGCATACTGTGTAACTATATCACTATATGCATATAATCAGGTTAAACATTTTTTTCCTTTTTTTTTTATTGAATGAGTTTTTATCACTCCATAAATCAGAAAATACCGTCAACAGACAGAAAACAAACACATTTTCACCGTGTTTTTAGGAGTAAAATGTCGTATAAATCAGTGTGAATGATATATGTAAAAGCCTTCAGAATATAGAGAGGAATAAAAGTGTAAAGTTTGGTGTGTAAGAGAAGATTAAAATAAATCTACAGACGCAAATAGATAAAGTGCAATAAAATAAACCCTTAAATGTGTATTTCTGATGTTTTCTTTCCAGTAGTCTGAAAGAAGAGATGGCATATGGAAGCAAAATATCATAAATCAGAAAAATACTGCCAACAACTATAAACTGTAAATTTTGGCGCATGTAAGTGCAGCTGAAATGGAGTCAAAACGTACTGCCTTTAAAGATATGCACTGCAACTGAAACCTACAGAATTAAACAATGTATTTTACACTAAAATGCATATTTTATTCCACTAGTCTGAAAAAAAAAAAAACTTGTGGAAAGCCAAATAGCATTAAAAATCTCAAAATTGACAAGTGCATTAAAAAATATGTGTTTGCCTCTGGTGTCTTGACTTAGATCTGGCACAAAAAGTGTTCAAAAAAATCAAACCTGTGGTCCTTATACATATGCATTGACAATAATTAAGAAAAGCAACAGAAAGACAGTTTAAAGTAATCAAGTGCTAACTAACTTCAACTTTTTCTCCAAAACAACTCTATCTGCTGTTGTCATCTGTTCAGATTAGGGTTGCAAAGGGGTGGAAAATTTCCGGAAACTTTCCCAAAATCCCTGGAAGATTCCAGAAAATCCTGGAAAGTTTCCAAAGTTTCTGGAATGTTTCCGAAATGTACTGGAACCCTAGTTCAGATGTTGTTCTGCTTGCGTTCAGCGTTCCAGAAGCTCAGCCTCTCCGAGAGGCTTGCATTGCACAGATGATCGCAGATCTTTGGCTCCCTGATGACGTGCTGTGAGACCATGTCCCTGCGGAACGTCACGAGTGATCTCCTGCACCGCCAGATCCGGGTGAGCAGCGTCTGTCGGCAGCTTTCATAAACGTCTATATTTACTGTAGTCGTCAAAGAGATCAGACACGGAATATCTTGTACAATGTAAATGCCTCGTTCATTCAAATGTAGGGCTGCCCTCGACTAAAGATTTTTATGGTCGACTAGTAGTCGTTCATTTGAAGCATTAGTCGACTAATCGCACGTTTATTAATAAACCATATGTGACCCTGGAGCACAAAACCAGTCTTAAAGGCACAATATGTAATTTTGTAATACGCCGTGAGGAATCATGGGAGTTGTGGTCTTCATCCTCACAGCCGACGCAATCCAGTGGTTTTTGGATATTTTAATAAAAAAATCGTATATATTGTGCCTTTAAGTCGCTGGGGTATATTTGTAGCAATAGCCAAAAATACATTGTATGGGTCAAAATGATCCATTTTTCTTTTATGCCAAAAATCATTAGGATATTAAGTAAAGATCATGTTCCATGAAGATATTATATAAATCATAATAATGCACCTTTAAATTGCCTACATTGCCTAATAAGCGCACACATAAAGCTTGCCTCAGCACACCACAGAAGTATGTGTCAGGGAAAAACAGTAAGGAGGCTGCATTAACGTTTTAATAATTCATTGATAAACTAGTTTTGTTTTCATCTTAAGAGATGAAGTCGGCGACACTGACTCGTCATCTCCGCAGTAGTGCATGCACCTGCATGCATCTTTCATACGGATTACATAATCGGAGAATATTTGTTTTCCATTTGAAAGTAAGGTAACACTTTATTTTGATAGTCCACTTTAGACATTCTACTAACATAAGTAACTTTGCAACTACATGTCAACTAGCAGTCATTAGAGCATTAGTAGACTGTCTGCTTAATATATGCTAACACTTTATTTTTGATGGGTCCACAACATACATGACTACGAGAAACTTTGCAAGTACATGTCAACTTATTCTACTAACCCTAAACCTAACCTAAGTCTACTCTGAGAGTTAGTAGACATGTAGTTGCAAATGAATGAGAATTAGTTGACATGTAGTTGCAAAATTGTTAGTAGAATATCTAAAGTGGACTATCAAAATAAAGTGTAAACGAAAGTAAACATTTAATAGATATATTTTTAATGTCTGTAAGGCAAGTTTACACAGAGTTTCGCGCTCAAGTTCACAGAGACCGAGACGGCAGAAAGCGCATCCTGCTTTCATTATTGTACAAAAGCGCAATGTTTTGTTGTTATCATGAGTGCACACATATAAACGTAGAGTCTTCACAGATTCAAAAGAAATATTACTTTTATCTGTATGAGCAACAATGAGGGAGTATTTTAAGAGATCTGTCCGTCACGGAGTGCTTGACTTTGCCTGTGGAATTTTTTATTTATTTATTTCTTTCTTCGACTAAGCAACTAATGGTTAGTCGACTATTAAGGGGCAGCCCTAGTAAAATGTGCATCAGTGTTCACTCAACCTCATGGCGTTCCAAACCCGTATGAACATTAAAGGAGAACGTCTGAAGAATCTACTACACAACAACCCACCAGTTTTGCCGTGTAAAGCAGTATCAGCAGTACAAGCGTGTGTAACGCTCTCATATCATGTGTGTGTGTGTGTGTGTGCAGGAGAACCGGGCTCTGGACTTCCAGAGACACTATCATGTGACCGACCCGTTTATAAAGCGTCTGGGGCTGGAGGCCGAACTACAGGTGATTGATGAATGATTGCGTGTTAACTCATAGTTTTCATATGTCGTCACAACCATATAGGAACAAAACAGTCTTTCCCTCCATCTTTTGGCCACCAGGTAGTTTCACCAGGTTTGTACTGAGTACAAAATTACTAATTAAGTGACAGACCCAAGTTCAGTGTACACCTTACAGATGATGCATGCTATATACAAGCAAGCAGATGAGCTCAGAATACGAACATGCTAAATTGCATGATTTCGCCTAGAAAGCCATTATAAAGAAAACGATTCATATGACTTACAGTGATATACAGTGCAGACTAAACACTGAGCCCAGAATATGAATGAATGCAACGCACAACAGTTTCACATTAAACATTTTCCCTGTGAAAAACATTCTAAAGAACGCTCTTGATGTGCAATTTTGGGCTAACCTGCTTGCCTGTATATAGTATGTTTTATTAATAAGGTCCACTGTCACCATCTTAATCTTAATAAAGTAATTTTCACAATAAGCATGTTAGAATATGCTACTGTTTTTAGTGTCTGATATACTGTGGCAGATTCTACATAAGTTTAAATTATATATATATATTAGGGCTGGGTTTTGACACAAATTTCACAATTCGATTCGATTCTCATTCAACAAGTTTTCGATTCGATTCAATATCGATTATTTTGGATATATATCAGCTACAGTACTTGCCAAATTTTCTCAAGGAAAAATAAATCTCTAAACTAATGTTGTAAAATATACATGAGAGTCAGTTGGTACTATACATTACTACAATATTGAAGGTTAAATTTAACTTATTTGTATACAAACGCTTAAAGGGGTCATATGATGCTGCTAAAAAGAACATTATTTTGTGTATTTGGTGTAATGAAATGTTTATGCGGTTTAAAGTTAAAAAAACTAACACTCCAAAGAGAAAGGAAAAAATGAAATTGCATCATATGACCCCTTTAAATTACACTCAATGAAGTTTTTATAATAATAAAGTTACAATTACATCATAATATTTCTACTCCAGTTCGTTTTTTTTTATATAAACATTTAAATGGTGACTGTCATAACTTTTAAACATAAAAGCGGATTTATTAAAACATAAATTGAACATTGAAGAACAATAAAAAATATTAATGAATATGTTATATGGTGCATATATTTGGCAAAAAGTGCCACTTTAGAGATCATTTTTCTAGATGTGCATATATATATATATATATATATATATATATATATATATATACACACACACACACACACACACCCTACCATATACAGTATACATGTGTATATGTTTTTATTAATTTTGCTTATTTAGTTTGACACCTGAAGTTTTTTGTAGTTTTTACTAAAATTTTTGTGTTTTTTTGTCAGTTAACGTTTTTTATTTATTTCTAGTAACAAAAATGTTTTTTTTTTTTTTTTATGATTTCAGTTCTAGTTTCAGTTTACTATAATAACCCTGTGTCATGTTTGTTTTGCCCTCAAGTGACATGACTAAAAACTATGAAAATATTTATCAGACCATTTTTTTATTACTTAATTTATTTTCCCTGGCTGAGGCCCACTTATAATCTTAAATTATTTTTGCACAAAAATAAAATAAAATAAATAGCTAAATAAAAAAGTATTTAGATAATTCATGACAATTCATACTCAACAACTAGTTTTTGCTGCTGTATCTTTAGGACTTGAATGTAAACACCTCCTCCCAAGTAACGATACTTTGTCATTTTTGTACTTCAGTTTCAACAAATGTTCTTTTTAGAATAGAGAAGAGGAATGTTACATCTTAGGACTGCTCATACATTGTAACCTCTCTGTTTTCAGGGTCACTCTGGCTGCGTCAACTGTCTGGAGTGGAACGAGAGAGGAGAGTAAGTTCAGTGTTCAATCCCAGAGTGCTTCACGTCTCCGTGTCTCTTCATAAACTCACTGGGTTTGTTCTTTCCAGCCTCCTGGCCTCAGGTTCGGATGACCAGCATGCCATTATCTGGGATCCGTTCCGGCACACCAAGCTCATCACTATGCACACGGGACACGCAGCCAACATCTTCTCCGTGAAGGTGAAGTCCATGTCTGCATCTAGTAAACATGCATGAATGTGTGTTCTCATCCGTGTGTGTTTGCAGTTCCTGCCTCACTCCGAGGACCGGATCTTAATCACAGGAGCCGCAGACACCAAGGTGCATGTGCACGACCTGACGGCGAAGGAGACCACTCACATGTTCTCAGACCACACTAACCGCGTCAAGCGCATCGCGACGGCTCCCATGTGGCCCAACACCTTCTGGAGCGCGGCGGAGGACGGGGTCATCAGGTATGGAGACTTCAGTCTGTTCAGAAATCAGGGTTTGTGAAACCCCCGGTGGTTTGTGGAGAAACTGCAGGGGGTTGTGAGTTGATGGGAAAAAAAGCTCAAATTTAATTATATCATATGTGACCCTGGAGCACAAAACCAGTCATAAGGGTCTTTTTTTTTTAAATTGAGATTTATACATCATCTGAAAGCTGAATAAATAAGCTTTCCATTGATGTATGGTTTGTTAGGATAGGACAATATTTGAAAATCTGGAATCTGAGGGTGCAAAAAAATCTAAATATTGAGAAAATCATCTTTAAAGTTGTCCAAATGAAGTTCTTAGCAATGCATATTACTAATCAAAAATTAAGTTTTGATATATTTACTGTAGGAAATTTACAAAATATCTTCATGGAACATGATCTTTACTTAATATCTATAAAATATATATAAAATGATTATTAACGACATTCAAGAACCGTCAGCATGCAAATTTGTTGTTAAATTACTGGAGATATTTCAATTAAATATTTTACATACAGAGGATTGGCTTTGTTTGGGAATTCCTGATCTAATGCATACTAGTGTTATTTTATTATGGTTAATATACTATTATAGTTTTTATTAATATTTTGAATTAAAACAAATATGTATATATATATACATTGCCTTGCGAAAGTATTCTTATTCTTATCGTTTTGTTATGTTGCAGCCTTATGTTAAACTGCTTTAAATTACTTTTTTTCCACATCATTCTACACTCCATACACCATAATAACAGAACAAATAACAGGTTTTTAACATCTTTGCAAATTTATTAAAGATTAAAAACTTAAATGATTCCATTGCATAAGTACTCATACCCTTATCTGTGTCAGTTGAAATTTAGCTCAGGAGCATTCATATTGCTTGTAGATGTCACTACACTTCGAGTGAAGTTAACCTGTGGCAAATTCAATTGAATGGCTATGATCTGGAAAAGCACATGTCTTAATAAAAGGTCTAACAGCTGAAAATGCATATCAGAGCAAAAACCAAGCCCTGAGGTCAAAAAAACTGTCTGTAGAGCTCAGAAACAGGTTTGCATCAAGCCACACATCTGGAGAAGAGTTCAGAAACATTTCTGCTGCATTGAAGGTTCACAGAAGCATGTAGACTCTGTTACCCTTAATGGAAGAAGTTTGAAACAACCAGGACCCTTCCTAGAGCTGTCCTCCTGGACAAACGGAGCTGGGGCTGTTTTTCAGCAGCAGGGACCGAGGGACTCGTCAGAGTAGAAGAAAAGCTCAATGCACCAAAATATAGAGATAGCCTTAATGAAAACCCAGTCCAGAGCATTCAGAACCTCAGACCGGGCAGAAGGCTCACCTTCCAACAGGACAGTGACCCTAAGCACACAGCAAGAGTGGCTTATAAACAACTCTGTGAATGTCCTTGAGTGGCCCAGCCAATGTGGCTGAATTAAAACAATTCTGCAAAGAAGAGTTATTAGATATTTAACCAGTTATTAGATTTAGGCGGAAATTACTTTTTCCACGTAGGGCCAGGCAGGTTTGGACAGCTTTTTTCCCTTAATAAATGAAATCATTA